CTTGGATCTGCGCTGGACCCCCCTCTCTGGCGCGCGGGGCGCGCCAGAGGCGGCGCCAGAAGCGCCGCTGGGGGCCCCAGCGCAGATCCAAGAGATCCGCGCGGAGCGCCGAACATTTATGTTTGTTGAGTCTGTCTTCTTCGGCCCTGGGAATCCTTGGAATCGCCCCCGATGCACGACGACCTCGAACGCCGAGGGGTTCTGGTCAAGCAGTTGGTGCCCTCCGAGCTCATAGCGACGCTGCCGCGCTCTCGCCGCCCGCTGCCGAAGCGGCGCGCCCGCGCCTGCTCTCACCGGGTGGCGAGCGCCGTGGCCTCGGGCCGGCCGCCGAGTGACGGGAGGGCGCCAGCTGAGCGGCGAGAAGAATTACGCGAGAGGGCATAGCGACCTCACGCCGCGGCTTACGCGGGCCGCCAGCGCGGCAAGTTACACTGGGAACGAAGACGCTTGGAGTAGGGGCCCGACCACAAGAAACCTTCCACAAGAAACCCAACCCTGAGACCCCAGGACGTCCATTGGTTTTTGGCGTGGGAACGTCACGCATTCCATGGCAGCACCATCGAAACCCAATACATCCAGGGCACCCTGGAGGCAAGCAGGGTGTTTCTTGGCATGGGGCTCCACTGAGCTTTTGCTCAGCGTGTCGCAACGGCGGCCCTGGCGACACGCGATGCCTTGCGAGCGGATGGCGTGCCGCTCGGCTCCGCGGGGTGGGAGGCTGGGACAAAAACCGAGCGTGGATAGCGTGTCGCGCCGAGGCGTGGTGGGCAAGACCCAGCGGGGCGCCAACTGTGCTCGCAGGCGAACCTAGAATCGAATCGATAAGTCGGGTCGTCGATCGAAATGAATCGGATCGGCGGCAATCGGCAGTCGAGACGGGAGGAGTCAAATCGGCGGAAATCGGCAAGCGAATAAGCCTCCGTTGAGAAATCCGAATCCGACTCGGAATGAATTTTTGGGGAATTTTTGTTGGTTCCTGGAAGTTGTCTCCTGCCTCGGGATGGGTTCCGGCAGCTGCGCCTCGCCGAGAGCGTTCTGGGGGTGTTTCCTGGGCACAGAGGGTGGTGCGCCGAAGGAAGCCTGCGTGCGCCACGCTGGCTGCTGCCTGGCGGAGGGGGAAGAGGGGGGAAGAGGAGGAGCGGGAAGGGCAGTCGGGGTCGTCGGGGGGTCGGCGTGGGGGTGCCTCGCCCGAACAACTCGAGGCAATTGGGCGACGAAGAGGAACGGGTCCCACGCGAGATGACATAGCGACCGTACGCGGTGGCTCACGCGGGCCGCCAGCGCGGCACGCAATATGGAAGACGGCGGATGAGCGCGGCCTTGCGCGGGCAGCTTGCGTGCGAATGGTGGCGCAATCGAGCCCGTTGGTCTTCCGTCGCTGACGTGTGGCCCACTTCTTCGGTGACTGCGGGGCTTGCTGAAGGGATGCCGAATTTAGGTCGGGGAGACGTAAGACTCGGGTTCGGGGGACTCGAGATGGCCTGACGGGGTCATCATGAAACTAACGAGACCAAATCTGAAATTTGACGCGAGATCCCGCTGCAAACATCCCACGAACACCGGACCGCCAAAGTCCATGACAGGCTCGTCAAAAAACGTTGGCAAACCCGAGTTCCGGCTTACTTGAGTCTTACGTTGTCCCGATTCGGGGAGGATGGGTCCAGGGGGGGATGCATCAAGGTTTCGAAGTTTTCGGGCGCTTTCGTCGGGTCTCGACGGTTTTCCAGCCTCGGGATGCGTTGCCGCAACTGCGCCACGTGGAGACCCGAATGAGGATCCGACAGCTAGACGGCTCGATCTCCAGCGAATTCGGCTTGGATCACCGCCAGGGTTGCTACGGGGATTGCGGGGGTATAAGCGGATGCTAAGATGGGGCCGAACCTAGCCTTCAACTGTGCTGCAGGTGCCCTGGGTGGCTTCGGGGGGTAAGGATCCAGGACTTGTTGTTCCTCTGTCGCTCTGGTTCTTTTCTGCTGCGCTCACCAAGTTTCATCTGTTGACCACTGCGCCTGAATCGTTCTTGTTTCCAGTCCAATGTTTCCATACATGGTCGCAGCAGCTGTGGGGCTTATGTCCGATCGGCGTCAAAACGAGGAGGATGAGGAGGAGGAAGAGGAAGAGGAGGAGGAGGAAGGGGAGGAGGAGGAGGAGGAGGAGGAGGAGGAGGAGGAGGAGGAGGAGGAGGAGGAGGAGGAGGAGGAGGGAGGAGGAGCAGGAGAAAGCAGGAGGAGGAGGAGGAGGAGGAGGAGGAGGAGGAGGAGGAGGAGGAGGAGCGCTAGTGACTCTCAAGCTTTCTCGCCGACAAGGCGCGCAGACCGCAGGCGTTCGGGAGGTCACTCAGCGGGCCAGCCTGTCAAGGGCTACCTTGCAGCATCGTACTGGTTCTGATAGGTCTTGGACGGCTCGTCGAAGGTGCAGTTCAGGAAGAGGAGGAGCAGGAGGAGGAGGAGGAGGAGGAGCAGGAGGAGCAGACGAGGGAGGATGAGGAGGAGGAGGAGGAGGGAGAGGAGGAGGAGGAGGAGGAGGAGGAGGAGCAGGAGAAGGAAAGGATGAGGAGGAGGAGGAGGAGAAGGTGGAGGTGGATGAGGAGGAGGAGGAGGAGGAGGAGGAGGAGGAGGAGGGGGAGGAGGGGGAGGAGGGGGACGAGCGTAAGAGAAGGCCAATGTCTGAGTAGTCGGCCCAGATCCGCCTCTCACAAAGCAAGACATGGACCGACGCTGCGGCGGGCGACAGCCCCTCGAGCAGCGACGCGCACTGGGAAGCGGCGCAGGGAGCGGAGGACGAGGAACACCCGGGGCAGCGCAGTGAGGGAGGAGCCCACCAAGGCGACCGCGACCGAGTCCCACGTGAAGGCCACCAGGGTGCCCGCGAGGAGGGCGACCAGGACCTAGAACACTATGAAATCCAATCCGACTCAGGCGCGTTAAGAATGCACTGGCAAGGGAACCGGCTCGGTCGCACACTTAAAAAACCGTCGGCTTTTCACACCGTCACACTCCACACGTTTTCCATCAGGAGGTCCATCGGCTACATAGTCAAGATTTGGATATGGAAACCGAAGGCGGGCCTCGCGATCAGAGGGTTCCGCCAAAAGGTCGCGAAGGGCGATCGGATCCCCGCAAACTTAAATGAGACACGCCACCGACGAAACCGCAATAGCCTCTCGCGTAGTCTTGCTTAGCAGCGTCATGCCCTCGTCCACAGCCTCACGCACGGACCACCCACTGCTTCAACTTTTTGTTGGAGTGCTCGCAGTAAACGAGCAGGTCCACCGCCACAGAACGCTGACCGCTGTCGCCGCTCGTGGCGGCGGGGGCGCGTGCGGCAGAGAACGGACGAGCGTCCAACTCTCGACCAAACTGGGCGATCGTTGCGTTCTGAGCGATGATGAGAGGAACAAAATAATCAAGATGGGACTCCAGCGCCGAGAGCATCACGCAAATGTGGGTCGGTGTTTTGGACGCCCGAAATGGGTACGGAAAAAATTGGAACAATGCCCAACAGCAAATGTTTTCCCAAAGCAACAGCGGCCGCAATTGGGCAGGCGGCCTTCTGTCTCGAATGGACACAGGCCGCGGCGGCGCGGACAGCGAGTCCTGTTCGAAATGAGCAGGAACTGCTGTTGGGCATCGTGCCCATTTTTCCCGTACCCATGTCGTTCGTGCCGAGGTGTGTCACGCGAGATGTGGGTGAACTTCCTGGCCTCCCTTTGCAAGACAGTGCTGCCCATGTTCCGCTCGTCCTGCGCAGCAGGGGTGCCGTCAACCACCAGAGACACAGCCTGTTGCGCGGCAGGAGGCGCTCAACCCATGGCTGGGGTAGTCCGCGCAACCGCCCACGTGTCAGAGCCCCAAAGCGGGTCCGAGCCTGGCACCACGTCCTACTTGGCCTTTCTGCGGACCTCGTGCTTGGCAGCGTTCACGTACTTGTGCAACCTCTGGGCCTTGGCGTGGGCGTCCTTGCTGAGCTGCGATCGGAGTTCTCAAATGACCTCCCGCGCTGCATGGCGTGGAAGGCCGTCGGCCAGCTGGTCGCGCTCAGCGGGTACATGGAGCGCACACCCATGGCCGCGTCGTCTTTGATGCTGCTGCTGCCAGCGCGCAACCAAGAACGGCCAGACGCTGGACCAAGCTAGCAGAATCCATACCTCACCGCTCGGAGGCGGCGACTTCCAGCTTCTCAATCGACCAGCAATGGACCATCAACACCACTCGGCGGCAGGCAGCAGGAGATGCACCGCACGGGGCAGTGCGCAACTAGAGCTCAAACAGAAAGCAGCGCCTCCCAGCGACTCTGGATCATGGCTAGCTAGTTAGAGCCACGAGGGGGGTCGCTCGCTGGTGAGAGGCTTGAGTCAAAATGACGTGAGCCAAAATGGCTACGGGGGAGGAGGCGATTTTGTTTCCCCTGCGGGCTCTATCCACCTCATCTTTCCTCACGTTGGGCGTCTGACGGGAAGTTTCCCAGGGGGGCGACCCCTTGGGCGTAATCAGCTGGGCATCGCATACCACTCGGAAGAGGGATGCGACGCGGTAGGAAGAGGAGGAGGAGGAGGAGGAGGAGGAGGAGGAGGAGGAGGAGGAGGAGGAGGAGGAGGAGGAGGAGGAGGAGGAGGAGGAGGAGCCCAGCGTATGGAAGCGTCTGTCTCAGACACGGGAGAGGGATCCGCACACCGCGGAGCGGCGGGTAAGCGAAGGCGGAAGCCCCTTTAAATAATAACCTCAACGAACAAGGAGCACATGATGAGGCCGAACACGACGAGCGAGAGCGTGAGGAGAGGGCCAGCTCTGTGATGTAGATGAGATGCCAACGCCACCACTGCTCCCACTTCTTTTTTGACCGCCTCGACGAGCAAACAACACAAGAAGAAACCGAACACGACGAGCGAGACTGTGAGGAAAACGCCGGCTCAGTAGAGTAGATGGGATACCAGCGCAATCGTTGATCCCACTTCCGTTCGTCGACAGAACACACGCAAGTATACCTCATAAGGTATTCACTCAGAACTCCACCACATCGATCACACCTCTCGTCGGGTCGCATGTCACGGTCGGCAGCAGCAACGTGAGGGTGCCGAGAAGACGCCGAGGGAGCCCCACGAGGGAGGGCAGGCAGCGACTGCCCCAACACCAGGCGCACCTGGACTGCGCAGAAAGGTCTCGAATCGAATCACGCAGCATTGACGACTGCGAGAACTCAGCTTTGTATTTCTGCACGAAGGCTGCAGAGTCCCTCAGTACCGTACTGTCGCCCGAAAAATTCTCCAGTGGAGCATGCGTTTCCAACAGTACACCTTCGCGAGTTGAAGAAAAATCGTTAATCGTAGCCACATGTTTGTCGACAAGCTGTTGGCAGTCGTCCCACAATGCGGACAGCGGCTGGGCCACCCACTTCGCGACCGTCGCAGGAGAAGGATCCAGGACACACCGTTGCACCTTGAGCACTGCATCTTCCAAGAAAGTTTTCTGCGCCGCAGCAGCCTCATGAAGCAGAGCACGCACGCGAATCTCGACGTCCTTCCAGTGCGCAGGCAGAGCCGCAAGCAAGAAACCCACCTGATATTGAAATTGGAGAAGGTGAGGGATCTGGCTGACACGCTCCTCCAGCCGCTGGAAGGAACACGAGCACTCGAGACGGCTCAACGCAAGAACCGCCTCACGACACTCCTCAATCTTGCTATTGAAATCCTCCAAAAGGCTGTCCACCCGCTGATCGAGATCACAAATACCCAGCATACCGGAAACAACCAGTTCCAATTCGTTGAGCTTGGAGAACTGGCGATCGGACTTCTGTTCGACGGCCTCCATGAGCAATCAACCATCTCGTGCCACTTGGCATGAATCCGCACACACGTCCAGACGTTCGCCCCAATCAGAAGGAAGAAACCAAACTTGATCGAACTGGCGCTGAAACCAACAGAAGCCCAGGGAAACGGAATCTGCATCATACGGAATCTGCATCATACTGATCATAGCCAAGAGTGTGAAAAGGTCCAGAGCACGGAACCCAGTCGTCCTCCACAGCAGGAAAGAACTCAGGAGCATCACGACGCAATCCACGACGCCACCTGGGGGCAACCACAACACCAGGTACAGGGGGCCTCGGCCGAAGGACCTCGACGCGGGTACCTCGGGGAAGAACTCGGCAGCACCAGCACGTAATACAGAAACGCCACACTTGGCGGCGAGAACACGATGAGTACGGCGAACACCCCACTCGTGCTTGTCGTGATTCGCTTGACGATGAAGAGCCAGAGCGTGTTGAACAGCAGCAGGAGGTAGTCCAGCACCACGCGTCGCGTCACGAGCATAGTGAGCAGGTACCTCGTTAAGCTGATTGTGGTCGTCGTGGAGCTCCAGGGACTGGATCATCTGGAACGCGCGCCCCGCCAGCGACGCACGAACAGGAACCAGAGACTGAGCCGATGGAGAACCGAGATAACGGCGATCAACAGCACGCAGGCGGCGACGTTCAGCAGCGAGAGCGGAACGGCAGTGCACCATCGCAGACACGAAAAGACAAGGAAAAGAGCAGCACACAAAGCGCCAGCGCAACCATGAACACGGTCCAGGCTCGAACCAAAGCTGGCTAGAGCCAAAATGGCTGCGGAGGAAGAGGAGGGGGATCAAGAGGAGGATGATAAAGATGAGGATGACGAGGAGGAGGAGAAGGAGGAGGAGGCGGAGGAGGAGGAGAAGGAGGAGGAGGAGGAGGGAAGGCCATAGGCGGGATCCATCCCCCGCACTGTCCCGCGCGCGCGCTGCGCGCCTGGCGGGCTGGCCTCAACCCCCCAACCTGTGCCGCGGTCGGGGGGCGCCGCCACGGCACGAAGGTGATCAGCCGCGACTGCAGCATCAACCACCAATTCTTGAACTACAAATAGACAAGCGCGTTCCGCTACTCGCAAAGTCACTACTCGCAAATGGCCTGGGTCTGCCATGAGAGATTTACGATACCTTACATCGATGCAAGCCTTTTTTTCTGACGATTGCGAGTATGCACTTTGCAAGTAGTGAAACGCGCTCGGTGAACAAAACTCTGGAGGTCGGAACAGGGTGTGGCATAAAGGGGTATGGTGCCAATCGCGGAAATGGCGATGCCGTCTGCGATGAACAACGTCGCCGGAGTCCCCTTTACCCCAAATTAGCACCACACCCCTTTATGCCATACCCCTTTCCTACCTCCAGGAAAACTGCGAGACTGTCCCACTTCTGCGGAGACGTGCCGGCAAGGATGCCGAGACCATGGGCGCGAACAGGCGCGGCACAAAAACGAGGGGGGAACAACGCTCGGCAAGGGATACAACCTCGACCCGACGACATCGTTATCATTGCTACGACCGCCCTCGCGAGGGCGTCCAAGCACGATCTGCGTAACAGGCAGCCCCCGTGCGAGAACGAGCTGAGTAACAGGCAGCCCAAGTACCAAAACGAGCTGCGAAACAGGCAGCCCAAGGACGACCACCACCATTACGACACCAAATACGCCACCAAGACCGACACCAAGAACGACACGGCCGTGCAGCCCGAAGGGGTGACTGAGGACGTCGTCGTGGAGGTTCCTGCGGACAGCGGCCGCGCCGCCGACGACGAGTACGACTGCGGCCGCGCCGCCTACTACGAGTACGACTACGGCAACTTTTTCGATGGCGACCTGCACTCCTACGACCCCCAGGACTACTCTGGCTTCCAGAACGCGGAACACCATGATTTGGCAGCCGACGACTCCGATTCGGACCTCGGGGGTTAAGAAGAGAGCGTGCCCTTTGAGTTATTACAGCCACCAGGAGTGCTACCAGAAAAAGCTGAAATACGAGTACCACACGCACAGCTACGAGAGCCAACGCAAGTGCTTCAAGATCCACCTGCCGAACTACGAGAGCCACGAACAGAGCCACCATGTCCGCACGCTGAGCTACGAATGCCGCAAGCAAGACTACGTGGAACGCCAGCTGAACCACGAAGGCCATCTGCTAAGCTACAGGGCCACCCACTGAGTTACGAGGGCCACCAGCTGAGCTACCGGAGGCACCAGCTGGGCCACGAGGACAACAAACAGAGCCACGAGGACCACAGGCACAGCTGCTTATTACAGCCACCAGAAGAGCTACCAAAGCCCCCAGCAGACCTTCGAGGACCACAAGCTGAGCTACGAGGGCCACGAGCTAGGCTACAAGGGCCACGCGCAGGGCTACGACGACCACCGGGTGAGCTACAGGGGCCACAAGCTGAGCAGCGAGAGCCGCAACTATAACTACGAGTGCAACCAGCTGAAGTACAAGAGCCACGAGCAAATAATCGAGAACTTCCAGCACAGCTAAGAGGACCAATTGCTGAGTTTCGAGGGCAAAGAACTGAGCTACGAGGGCCGCAAGCAAAGCTCCGAGAGCCACCAGCTGCGCTACGCGTGCTGCCAGCGGAGCTACGAGGGCCACAAGCCAAGCTACGAGATTCAGTAGCGGTGCTACGGCCGTCCACGACTGTAGTCGGAACCACACGCCTTGGCTCCAAAACTACGGCTTGCAGGGGGAGTAAGTGGAAACACATCTCCAGCAGCTACTGGAGCAACATTGGCAAAACGTGAGGAATCATTATTCCGACGGTAAGGCCCCGCATGATAATCCTTTCGGCTAATTGGGAAATGACCCTCTTCGTCGTCCTCATGATTGTTGAGGCGTCCTTACTATCTCCTCTGCATCCTTCTCCTCCTCGCCCTGGCGCAGGCCCTCCTCCCGCTCTCTACGTCGTCCTCTCCTCGTTTTTTTTCACCCCCTGCCACCTCCTTCCCTTTCTATTGCATGAGCGTGCATGTCGATTTTCCTCGGCGCTGTCGCTGCCTCGGCCACCGCGGGCACAATCTCTACTTGCCACGCTGCGCAGCCGTTGGGGCAACCCCGCAGGCCAGGCCGTCGTCGGGGCTACCCCGCGAGCCGCCGGCGCGCGAAACCAAGCCGTTGGGATAACCCCGCGGGCTTCGAGCGGGGCGCCGCCGCGCTCAGCCGGGGGGCAACACGGAACCCAGCTCTGCCGCGAGCTGCTCCGCCTCTGCCTTGGCGCTCTCCGCTCTGATGTCGAACTCCAGGAGCGCCTTCCGCAAGGATGCCGGCGGTCCTCGCTCCAGGAACTCTCGCGGCGGCGGCCGCAGGATCAGCATGTTCTGCATGCGCGTGGCGCGGGAGAACATGACGTAGAGGTGCAGCCACCACTGGTCGTCCAACGTGCCCGTGCGGCCAGCGTCCTCGTCCTTCGCGCACTCGATGCTGACGCCCTTGCGCAGCGTCTGTCCCTGCGACAGCGTGGAGGTGAGGTAGGACGAGTGCGTCATGGTGAACCCCGAGCAGCGCACGGCGTGCGGCCCCGAGCTTCGCCACGGGAGTTCAGGCCCCAGGAGCACAAAAATGACGCCCCTTACAGTGTTCCGATGACCCGCCTCGGAGTTCAAACATGAGCTGCTGGTCCCAGAGGGAGCGGGCTCCCGCCTGAGACTTCCTCGTAATTCACTCACAGACGAAGCTCCTGCCTGATACTTCCTTCAGATTCAAGCTTCCGGGACCTTAGAAGCGACGACAGCTACAAGGTTCCGATGACACGCCCTGGATTTCAAACGTGAGCTGCGGGCCGTATAGGGAGGGGGCTCCCGCCTGAATCTCCCTCGCGACTCACTCACCAACGAAGCTCCCGCCTGAACCTTCTTCCAGACTCAGGCCCCAAGGGCCCAAAAGTGACGACGCTGTTCCGATGACCCGCCTCGGATTGCAAACATGAGCTGCGGGCCCCATAGGGCGGAGGCTCCCGCCTAAGATTTCCTCGCAATTCACTCACAGACGAGGCTCCCGCTGGATACTTCCCCCATATTCAAGCTTTAGGGGCCAAACGTGATGACAATTTCAGGTTTTCCGATGGCCCGCTCGGATTTCAAACATGAGCTGCGGGCCCCATCAAGCTGAGGCTCCCGCCTGAGATTTTGCTCTCGCCTGATACTTCACCATTTTCAAACCTCGGGGGCCCAAAAGTGACGACGGTTACACATTGTCCGATGACCAGCTAGGATTGCAAACGTGAGCTGTTGGCCCCATAGGGAGAGGGCTCCCGCCTGAGACTTCCTCGCAATTCACTCGCAGACGAGGCTCCCGCCTGATACATCTTCCATATTCAAGCCACAGGGGCCCAAACATGACGACAATTGAGTTTTCCGGTGGCCCGCTCGGATTGCAAACGTGAGCTGCGGGCGCCATGAGGCGCAAGCTCCCGCCTGAGACTTCCTCGCAATTCACTCACAGACGAGGCTCCCGCCTGATATTTCCCCCATATTCAAGCCTCAGGGGCCCAAACGTGACGCAACGCAGAGAGTTCCGATGACCCGCCTCGGATTTCGAACATGAGCTGCGGGCCCCATAGGGAGGGGGCTCCCGCCTGAGACTTCCTCGCAATTCACTCACCGACGAGGCTCCCGCCCGATATTTCCTCCATATCCAAGCCTCAGAAGCTCAACAGTGTCGACAGTTACAGGGCTCCGATGGCCCGTAGTGATGATGATGAGTGAGATGATGATTGATGGTGATGATGCTGATGATGCTGATTCTGATGATGATGATGATGACGATGACGTTGACGATGACGACGATGACGATGATGATGATGATGGTGGTGATGATGATGCTGATGATGATGCTGATGATGATGATGATGATGATGATGATGCTAGGAGGAGCGGGTATGAAGAGGAGATGGTGTGGGAGGACTGCGCGGGGTGTCCAGAGAAGACAATAACCCCACTTAGGATGGGGGGAATAAGCACGGGCCCATTC